CATGATATAGGAGTCGAAAGAGTGGAGGAGACCCGATATTCGATTCTGTTCACGCAACCCTGGTGGTGGAGGAAACGGACTGTGGCTTGAGGAAGAAGAATGACATAAAGGTCTTTTTACACTTAGTGTTGTTATAATAATTAAGATTGTCAAACACCCTGATTTTTCGTGCTTATATTTTTTGGACCACAACTTGTTAGACAATCCTGATAAGATTATAATCAATTGCCATATATACCGTTTTAAACAGGCCAGAAAGAATCATTTTTATATCTCTCTTCGTCAACATAAATTAGGGACTGATAAAGCCACTATTTTTAGGTCACCGGTTTTGACTCCTCCGCGTCTTTAGACTAGTCACAGGTGGAGTAGATTCTAAAAAAATTATGCTATATCACCTCATGTCCTCATGACGATGCGAACCAACATTCTACCGAGCATTGTTGTGTGTAATAATGTTATGACCCGACCCGAGGCTTACATTATCGATTTCTCATCGCATCGTGGCTATTAGTATGAAAGCGTGGAGCCTTTTCTTCCTTACGTAACTTTGTCATCATGCAATTAGCTAGGGCTTCCCCAACGCTGTTTTCGTTTACTAGTAACCCCAAGTGCCTAGTAGAATCAGATAAAAAAATATGTGCTCTACACTTGTTATAGTGGCTTACAGAAACTACATATGCTTAGAGAGAGAAGGTGATCCATGCTAAAAAAAAAGAGAAAGAGAAAATAAATGTGAGGTATGATGAAAGGAAAAAAGTTTCTTTGCAAACCACGAGTAGTGATAGTTTGCATTATGTGAATAGTAGTCTCAACATTTTCTAGTCTATATAGATCACTTTATTTATACTAGAATCATTAGAAGTGTTAGTCTCAGTGCCGGTCCTACGATTCTGAGGGCCCTATGGCGATCTCATTGTAACGGCACCTCTTAACCATGTATAAAATCTTATAATATATAGGCGCTAATTTTACTTGCAAAACGAAAGCAAATTCAATAACATATTTTTAATTTAACATGTCTGATAATTATCGAGGAATAATGTAGATTAAGCAATATATTTGTAGATGTATGATAATTATCGAGGAACGATGTAGATTAAAAAAGCAATATATTCATTTTCTTTTCTCACCCATGGCAAATGTTTCTTAGGTAACATTCTAAAATTCTAACACATAAATTAGATGAAAAATAAGACTATATGGGTTAAAAGTACTAGGAGTTTGAAATACTATACAAATAATTAATTTGGATTAAAAATAAAAAGGAAAAAAATACCTTGGGCCTAAACAACTGATCAGTGATCGTAATTCATAATAAGCCAAGAATCAAGATGTCATCGTCGTGGAGCCCTACCTGGTCGTCCTCCTCGTGCGTCGTGTCCGTGTCTCTGGTAGTCTAGCTCTTCGCGGCAGCGCGGCTCGCTAGCTCTGCATGTGTAAGGCACACGTCACGAGCTCACGATCAGAATGTGCTGTGTGCAGCTTGACTCCTCGCCTCCTCTCTACCCGAGGGCCGTGGGGAAAGGAAACTAGCAAAGAAATATCGATGTTGTCTTTTTGAGCCGCCTGATCAGTTCTATGTCTCTCTTCTCACTAGTATGTTAATGCCTAATAGACTATAGGACGTGAGGATTTATATACCTAGGCTTGGACCTCTCCTCCGCTTGAATCCTCGGTCGTCGCACCTAGTGGCCTAGCCCTAGGGCCGGCACTGGTTAGCCTCCGAGGCGGTGCCCTTACTGTGTGTGTTTTTGTCTTCTTGCTCCTTTTTAGCGTCCCTCTCTCCTTTTGATCTGTCTGCCACTCGCCTGACTACTGCAAATCTTACCTGAATCTTATGCTTCTTTTAAAATAAAGTTCAGCCAATCAAATCAAATTAATCGTTGTCGATATTCTCTCTGTCCACGAAATAATGAATGCAATCATAAGATATTATGTAAGTCAAATTAGTCTAACTTTGATCGAGTTTATAATAAATAATATTAATATTTATATCTCTAAATAAGTTTATTATAAATATATTTTTATAATTAATTTAACGGTATTTATTTTGTAGTACAATTGTTAGTAAATTTTTATATAATTTTAATCAAATTTTAAGATAATTGATTTCTTGAAAAACAAGAATTACATTGTTCGGACAGGGCCACAGGGGAGTGTCATGAAAAAGAAATAAAGTTGCAACCACCCCCCACCCCACTCACCTTTTCATGACCAGGAACGGTCTCCTACTTTTGCCTAATGCTGCAGTACTAGCACAGCAGCAATGCATTATGCATGCATCGTGGGCACGTGATCACCACAGAGAGACCGAAAACGAAGGAAGGAAGAAGGATGTCGTCTGATGGAGGTCACGGTGACGTCTTCGGTTGAGCGGAGATATACCAAAAATAAGATTGAAGATCAAGTTTTTCACAGTGGTTCAGTCGGCTCATTATTGAGCTTTGTTTCGGTGTGTTTTTCTCATTTCCACAGTGGTTCAGTCGGCTCATTATTGAGCTTTGTTTCGGTGTGTTTTTCTCATTTTTAACGAGATTTGTGTAGTACCTGAGATACTTCACTACTACAGATTTGGACATCACTGCCAGCTTCATTACTGTCGGATTCGTGAGAACCGGCACTGATGAACGTTTCCGAGCTTGAAAACAAGAAAATAATTGAGTCTGGGCTAAAACCGACATTGAAGGACCACGTCACTACCGGTTGTTAATACAAACCGACAGTGATGTCTATTTACTGTCGGGTGAACTACCAAACCGGCACAGATGCATACTCCCGGACCCGAAAATTTTATGTATTCGAGTTAACTCCGTACGCCTCCCAACTCCAAGCCGGACGACAGACCACACCCGCCTCCCTCCCAACTCCCAGCTCCTCCTCCCCAGATCTCCCCACGCCTCCACACCACACCCGCCTCCACTCCGCCAAATCCCGTGCCGGAGAGGGGCTTCTTCCTCCACCTGTCCCCGAGGAGCGGCGCCAAGCCCCCACGCCTGCTCCCGCTCTTCCCCATCACCTCCGCGGCGGCGCCCGTTCGAGTGAAGATGGAGGGCGCTCAGCCATCTCCGTCGGAGGTGCTCGAGCAAAATGCGCGGACCCATGGAGGCATGGCATGGCGATATTGGGCACGAGGCCACCAAATTAGCGGTGACGTTGCCGTGGGGAGGCGGATCGACCTCCTCCACGGCACCGGATCCGGCCTCCACGCCGCTGCCGGAGTTGAAGGGGAGGAGCGCCGCCGTGGGGAAAGGGCCACCACCACCGCTCTCCTGCGTCGCTCGCGCCGCCGCCGCCTCGCCCGCTCCCGGATCCAGCGGTGAGGGCGAGGAGGAGCCCGGATCCGTCCTCCCCGCCACCGGATCCGGCTTCCCCGCTGCCGGATCCGGCCTCTCACCCGCATCGTCTGAGGGAGAGAGGGAGGGGAGAGGGCCGTCGCGCCGGAGGGGAGGAAGGGCGCGCCCGCCAGAGGGGGAGGAGGCAACCGCACTGTGTCTCCTTGGCAATCTCCCTTTTCTGGTGCTCCTGTGTCTCCGCCGGTGAGGATGAGTTTTTTTTTGTTGAACCCTGCTCCTTTGTCTGTGATGTACGAATCGATTTGTGGATGGGTTGATTTGTGATGTGTTGAACCCTTCTCCTTCGTTTGCGATGCACGAATCAATTTCTGGATGAGTTTTTACGATGTGTTGAATCCATCCTTTAAACGTGATGTATGAATTTTTTCTTGGATGAAATACTTGATGTAGTGGCGGCGGTATCGGTGAGCATGGTGGCGGCAATAAGCGGAGACGATATGCTCCACCGGCATGCTTGTTGGATTGCTTTTTTGTTTTTCTAAACCTTATGCTGCCGGGGTGAAGCAGTCGGCGGCATTATTGAGCTCAGCGAGTTTCGAGTATTTTTCTCGGTTCAAAATCCGTAGTGTGAATTGGATTTTGAACCGGCAGTGATGTGGAAAATTGGGGTAGTGCTTGTATCGGACGGCTAAGCACTACTCCCTCCGGGATCTATTTTATCTTACATGAGTTAGAATGACACGGTCTCCTAGATTACACTTTTGACCATTCATTTGCTTTATATTATATTATTTATACTTATCAACTTATAATCATTAGATAATATAATTCCTTACAAATCTAATCATATAAATTTTGTATTATAATAGTTAAAAATTATTAGCCTAATCATTGGTCAAACTTTTTAAAGTTTGAATCTTGATATATGGGCCAGATAAAATGGGAACGGAGATAGTACATCCGTCCTAAAAAGAATACAACTATGGGTTGCGTGTCACGAAAAATGGTTCATGTTTGATCAAGTTTTTAGTAAGTAATATTCATAGTTATGTCTTTAAATTAATTTATTATGGAAATGCATTTTGTAATTAATCTGATGGTATTTATTTGGTATCATAAACATGGATACTTTTTTATCTATAATTTATCAAACTTAAGATAATAAAATATGACACTGTATTATAATTACATTTTTTGGGAACGGAGGTAGTACTATCATTCACTTGTTAGATGTTGGAAGCAGAATACTTTTATTCCTTAATCTTAAAGAGGAAAATTCACGGGCGGTGTTCAACTTGGCAAAGTGTTATTTAGGTCCATCTACTTTTAAAATGTTAAATTTGGATGTATGAACTTTACTTCGGGCGTCATCCAGGTCTAAACGGTTCCAAACCAGCTCTGGACGCTGACATGACGCATGATAGCATACCGTACCGTTGCATGATAGAGTACAGTAGTACAGTAAAAAAAGTAGAAATGCAATGCATTGCAAGGAAAAGTCCGGCGAACATCAGCATGAACACCAAGGAACCAATTTCAGGAGTTGCATTATTGCACCTGCACAAAGACAGCAGCTTATGCGGCTAATGTTAGCACTTGAGCTCATAGAACAGATCCAGTAGAAAACTACTACGTACAATAGAGCTGCATGCTATCTCTTTATTTTGCCAGAGATGTTGTACAACAGAACTGCATGTTATCTCTTTATTCGGCCATGCACAGAACACCTGCACCCTTGGTGAGCTCATAGAACAGCTCCTTGAACCTGGCCAGGCTCTTGGGCTCCATGGCCACGACAACGTCGAGGCGGCCGTCGCCGTCCGGACCGGGGACGAGGTACACGAGGCCGCTGAACTGGAGGCACGCGCGGCCCATGAACGCCGGCCGGCCCCAGCCGAAGTCGGTGTCGTAGATGGGCAGCCCCTGCCAGCTTATCACCCACAGGTCGGGTCTCCGGCATCACCCACTCCCCCTTGCGCAGCCCCGCCGCGTCGCTCACCACCTGCTCCAGGCAGTCCACCAGCGACCGCACGTACTCGTCGTCCAGCCGGGCGGTGGCGCCGGACACCCTGCCCGCGACGGCGTCGAGCGGCTCCGAGACGACGTCGCCCGCTTTGGCCACCGCTGACGCGCGGAAGATGGCGTTGCCGAGGTACCCTGCCGGGAGCGGCGGGCGGACGCGGGAGCGCGCGTCGGCGGTTATGTACAGGCGGGTGTCGTCGTCTTCCGCCAGCCCGCGCGCCATGCACGCGCACCGCCACACGTGGGCGACCACGGCCTTGAACGTGGATACCTTCTTATTGCCTTGGCCACCGCCGGCCTTGAGAGCGTCCAGCTGGGTCTTGGACATGGGCAGGATGGCGGAGTCGAACGGGACCCTCGCTGTCTTTGGACCGCCGCCGCGGCGCCGGGCGTACTCGCTGTGGTCGAAGCGCACGTCGGGAGGGGAGCGCGCGCGGAGGACCGTGCGGTCCAGCCATGGGCGCGGTGCGGCCTCGTCGACGCCCTTGCTCGCGATGGCGGCCCACGTGTTGACGAAGTCGAGCGCCGCGAGGCCGTCCGCCGCCGTGTGGTGGATCGCCGCGCCCACGCACACCCCGCCGCACTTGAACGACGTCACCTGCGTATACGTAGGCAGACGCAACAAGCGTCAGCTAGCGCTGCATGTCCGTACAAAGTACTACTACTAGTACGTACGTGCGGTCTGACTGATCAAATCATCACGGCGCGACGTGACCTGGAACATGGCCAAGATGCCGGCGCGGTCTTCGCCGTCGGCAGCCGAGGGGACAAGCATCTGCCGCAGCTCATCCGACGGGGCGAACCCGCCGGCGGTGGCGAGGTCCTGGAGGGTAGCGTCGGTGCGTGCGGTGACGAGGAGCGCGCCCTCGCCGGTGCAGTGGATCTCCGGGCGGCCGGCGCCGTCCTGCGCGAGCCGGCCAGCGAGGGGGTAGAAGGGGACGAGCGCCTTGGACAGGGCGGCCTTGAGGACGTCCGGCGAGAAGAAGCCCGGTGGGCCGCCGGTACACGTAGACGGTGGGCGTGTGGCTCCTGGCCACGAGCAGGTCGAGGTTGGAGAGCCAGACCACGTGCAAGGGCGTCGTCGTCGCCGCGTCGCTGGGTTTCACCATGCAGGACTCGAGGATCTCCACCGCCATTGCTGCTAGCGCTAGGAGAGAGGTGGATCGGTGGCCTCAACACTGCCGCTGCAACTTTTATTTAGTCGGCTGGTATTAAAGGATCGTTAGACAGGCTCGAGGGGCAGGAGCTGGTGAGGGTGAACCCAAAATGCAAAAAAGTTGGTTTCACGGGCAAAAAGGATCGTTCGACATTGCTACTGCACGAGCTGCCACATTATTATTAGTTGGTATGTTAGAATAAGTCGAACTCGCGAAGTTAAGAAGACTTATGCCAAACTGAGACATGCATCCACGATTCACATCTCGTCGAGTACCTGCATGCTATTGTTATGTTTTGGCGATCTTCGATCGTGTTCATGGATGGATATGGATGGTACTGCAATTTGCATGCATGATTTTGGTGTTGCAGCCAATGTCATAAAACAAGGACACAACCCCACGAGCTCCAGGAAGAGGTGGACTCGACAATTAATAGACTAGCTAGCTGAGGATGGATAATGAGCTAGCTCGACATGTTAAGTTAATTATAATGATAGCTCGGCTCATTAAAAAGATAAGCTAAAACTTTAGCTCAGCTCAGCTTATTTGAGTCATCATCACGTTAGCAACTACTAAAACCAACACATAATAAGCTGTACTACTAACCTTCTCTATGTACAATCAAGCAAAAAAATCAAATAAATTAACTTTTAGAGTTGTATTAAGTCAAACTTTTTAAAAGTAGGCTGAGTTATAGAAAAAGTACAGATGTCTATGACACCAAATAAGAACACTCTATGAAAATATATCTCACACGGATAGAGAACAGAGCTTTACTCCCGGTGGGGAACCCCCTCTAGTCCCGGTTCCCCACCCGAGAGCAAGCATCCGGGACTAAAGGGGTCCTTTAGTCCCGGGTCAGGAACCGGGACTAAAGGAGGACCTTTAGTCCCGGTGGATAACATCAACCGGGACTAAAGGTGCCTCCTGACATGCCACGATGGCCGGCACCTTTAGTCCCGGTTGGTAATAAGAACCGGGACTAAAGGTTTTTATTCTTTTTTCTTTTCTTTTCATTTTTTTGTTTTCTTTTCAAAATAAGTTTTCGAAAGTCGTATTGTACGCTGCTAATTATATATTTATACGCGCGTATAGTATGTTTCGGTTCAAGCACAAAGAACGTATTAAATCACACAATTAAGCATAGAAATATATATATATATATACATATATATATATATATATATATATATATATATATATATATATATATATATATATATATATATATGCATGCATGCATCATATATATATTTACATGCATGCATGCATATGTGTATTTTATATTATATTATTTTATGTGCATATATTACAAAAGATTGCATTACAGTTGTTGTGATATATAACAAGTTTCCTCTCATCCTCTAGCTTGGCTTCCATGGCGGTGTTGGGTCAAGTAGAACTTGCCCTTGGAATCGATGACTGCTCATTAAAAAATCCGGCTATAGACTCTTGAATTGCTTTGATTTGGTCTTGCCGTATGACCTTTTTCTCCAACCATCGAGCCTCTGAGGTTTGAATTAAAGGAAAATAAATTAATATATGTACATATATATATATATATAAAGACATAGTAACACAATCAATAATAATAATTAAATGAATATATAGTGTATTTTTAACGTACTTTAAGTCTCTCTGTAGGAGTTCTTTGGGAGACCACCTTGATAAACTTACAAACATAGTAACCACAGTAGTTGTTCCCCTGTTCCTGCCTCAGACACCACTTTACGAGAAAAAGATTTGTCATCCAATCTAGTGATCCGGTGAAAGCTATATGTTTAATTAATAAAGATGATGCGATTTAGGGGACTTACTTTCAAAGGGATTACATTCAGTGGCGCTTTGCATTTTTCCATGTGTTGCTTCTCAATAAAGGTTTTCCAAACACTGCCCAATAAAAAATTTGCCACGTCATCAGATATAGTCAATCATCATGTTTGTGTATATATAGTTGTTAGAGATACCAAAATTACCTCTGGATAATATCTATCATATCTTGATAGTCTTGCTGTGGTTTTCTCATCGAGTCATAGATTATCAAGTGACTTTTCACCAGATCGATGTCCATCAATATCCAGTGATTGCTGTATGTATTTATAGGATATAACGCATAACGCTCATTAATTAACTAGAATCAACATATGAGCCATTAAGGATGATCGACATTATTAACACTCACTTGAAGTTGTAGGGAAAGAGTATATCCTTCTTGTGGCGTTGGTTCACTAAGAAGTTCATGAGGTTACTCTCTGACTCAGACTTCCAATTAGTCTTTGGAGTAACTGGGTCTTTGAATACTATATGGGGATCAACAAAACCAATTTCAATGCAGCCTACCTTTCTGAGCTCTGTCATTGTAAATCTGCATATATATAGTACTTGTTAGGATAATTTATATGCATATACACACATATGATGAGTTTAATAATAGATCGAAAGAATTATTATTTACAGGCAATAGCAGCTAATGATAACTTTGTCCAGAGAGGTCAGGTGGCATAGTTGATGAAATTCTACAAAGTCAACATACATAACATCATCGCCACGGAACCAATGTTCATCTCTAATTCTGACACCAACGCAAAAGTCTCCACCGGTAGACGCCTGCATGTACCACTTGTTTAGCAGGTACATTTGCGTCCCCAGATCATATAAGGCTTGAGGGTTGTATAGACTCTGGCCTAGTACAATTTTTTTCTTCCAAATATCAACCTTCGCCGCACTCTCAATGTTTCCATCACCAAACATGTGCTCATGGATGCTCTCATCACCTTGACATTTTTTTCGCAACCAACCACCGAAAGTTTCCATGTGTTTACGCGTAATCCAAGCTTCAGTCTTCCCTGGAAACTCGGATCGTAAGAGATCCTTGTGTGTCTCAATATACGGATCTACCAAAGAGGACTTCTGTAGAACTGTGTAGTGCGCTTTATTGAAATAATCATCATCCGTACCAATATATGTTTTCCTCCCTAGTGTCCCCTTTCCGCTTAGTCTCCCCTCATGTCTCGATTCAGGAACACCAATCGAGTCAAGGTCGAGAATAAAGTCAACCAGAACTCAATGACCTCTTACATTTCCATAGCCCTTGGCGATGCTTCCTTCAGGTGAGCACGGTTGTGAACATATTTCTTTAGGACTCCCATGAATCTCTAAGGGGAACATGTTGTGTAGGAACACAGGACCGAGAATGAAAATCTCCTTGACTAGGTGAACTAGGAGGTGTGTCATGATATCAAAGAAGGAAGGAGGGAACACCAACTCAAAGCTAACGAGACATTGAACCACATCATTCTGTAGTTTAGCTAGATCAGTTGGATCAATTGTCTTCTGAGAAATTGCATTGAGGAATGCACATAACTTCACGGTGGCTAGACGTACATTTGGAGGTAGAATTCCTCTTAATGCAACTGGAAGTAATTGCGTCATGAGAATGTGACAGTCATGGGACTTTAAGTTACAGAATTTCTTCTCTGGCACATTTATAATACCCTTTATATTCGAGGAGAATCCAGATGGTACCTTGATGTTGTTTAAGCATTCAAACATGATTTCCTTCTCTTTGCTTAGAGTGTAGCTGGCAGGACGTAAGTAATGGCATCCATCATCTGTCTTCTCTGGATGCAGGTTGTCTCTTTCTCTCAAACAACGCATGTCCTGTCGTGCTTCAAATGTGTCCTTAGGCTTTCCATACACACCCATGAAGCCTAGCAGGTTCACACAAAGATTCTTCATCAGGTGCATCACGTCGATCAAGCTGCGGACTTCTAGGACTTGCCAATAGGGTAGGTCCCAAAATATGGACTTCTTCTACATGGGTGCGTGACCGTTAGCGTCGTTCAGAATAGGTTGGCTTCCATGTCCTTTTCCAAAGATGACTTTCACATCATTGACCATATCGAGTACATCCTCACCGGTTCAGTTGCGAGGCTTGGTCAGGTGGTCTGCCTTTCCTTTAAAATGCTTGCCTTTCTTTCTTACGGGGTGATTTGCAGGAAGAAATCGACGATGGCCAAGGTACACGACCTTTCGACATTTTTTCAAGAATACACCTCTAATATCACCGAAGCAGTGTGTGCATGCATTATATCCCTTGTTTGACTGTCCTGAAAGATTACTTAGAGCAGGCCAATCATTGATTGTTACGAACAACAATGCTCGCAGATCAAAGTGTTCCTGCTTGTACTCATCCCACACACGTACACCTTATTTATTCCACAAAATGAGAAGTTCGTCAATAAGTGGTCTCAGGTACACATCGATGTCATTGCCAGGTTGCTTCGGGCCTTGGATGAGCACAGGCATCATAATGAACTTCCGCTTCATGCATAACCAAGGAGGAATGTTGTAGATACTTAGAGTAACAGGCCAAGTGCTATGACTACTGTTCTGCTCTCCAAAAGGATTGATACCATATGTACTTAAAGCAAACCTTAAGTTTCTTGCGTCATTTGCAAACTCCGGGAATTCTCTATCGATTGCTCTCCACTGGGACCCATCAGCAGGGTGTCTCAACATATTGTCTACCTTACGGTCTTCTTTGTGCCATCGCAACAATTTTGCATGTTCTTTGTTTCTGAACAGACGTTTCAAGCGTGGTATTATAGGAGCATACCACATAACCTTGGCATGGATTTTCTTCCACAGACGTTCGCCCTCAACATCACCAGGGTCATCTCGCCTGATCTATACCGCGATGCATGGCATACCAGGCATGCATCTAATTTCTCGTACTCTTTGCCACGGTATAGGATGCAGTCATTAGGACATGCATGTATCTTCTCGATTTCTAGCCCTATAGGACAGACAACTTATTTTGCTTCGTAGGTAGTGGCAGGCAATTCATTGTCCTTCGGAAGCATCTTCTTTTGGATTTTTAGTAACTCTCCAAATCCCTTGTCAGATACACCATTCTTTGCCTTCCATTGCAGCAATTCTAGTGTGGTTCCCAACTTTTTCTGCCCTGCATCACAAGT